AAACAAACAAATATATCACAACACAATAACTTTTAACCGTTTCATATTTCACCCTCAAAATTCACATCACCCTATAACACCAAAACAATTCTCTTTTGACACTCTTGTTCCCATGAGCCACGCCCATGGGAAAGCCCACAGGGAAATCCCCAACAATTCCTCATCTTTTCTTCATAATTTCCTTTGGAATTCCAAAGGATTCAAGGCGCAACGAAAGCATACCAAGTAAAAGTATACCTAATGTAATTCACCTTCTTCTTTGCTGAACCCATGAAGGGCAAGAAAAAACAAAGAGAGAAACAGAAAATATTTTTATTAGTTTGACCTCTTTCTTTCGAGAGAGATCCCCCTTGGGAAGCGGCAAGCAGCAGAATAGTTTAAAACACTTTCCCGCCATGCAGAGTGAGAATATCTGTTGTATTTTGATAATTTTCCCTCCCATCAAAGTAATAAATTCACCATTTAGGCAGAGCAGAAAAACAAAAAAAAAAGAAGCACCCAGTACTTTCCTGTTATGTCTTCGCTCCCCATTGCATTTTAATCAAAAACCAGAAAAAGAGTCTCAAACATCAATTCACAATTAATACTGACGAAAAGGAAATGCTGAGAGCCCACTTTAACCCACCACCCCGCGCAGCAAAAAGAAGGACGCATTGAGTGGGTTTTTCAAAACGACAACACCCACAGACATACAAACTAAGAAAACATAATATGTTATTATTTTTTTTTTACCAAGCGTAAAATCAGATCATTCCTTTTCCCAATCCCATCCACCCTGAAAATAATTTAAAAACTCAACGAAACCAAAAATTAATATACGTTGCCATTTGTACTTTGTCCCAAAATAAAACAGAAATTATAAATGGGCAATATGCCGAACAGTTAGTCATTGTTTTGTGAGACCATGCGGCATATTTGTTTTACCCCCAAACTCATACTACTAAAAAAAAAACATGTTAAAGGAATACTTTATTTCACTAATATTTCTGAAATTAAAACATATTTCAGTTGAAATAAACACTTCTTGTCGTATTTTGTTTCTTCCTTCCTCTTTCGTTTTATTTCCTTCTTTAATACATCGCCATTAAAGCCTCAATAAGCCATACAACCATTGATGGCGACATGTCCACTTGATACTGATTTACCTTTTCATTCCAGAATTTGGCAGTAATCCCCTGTTCCTCGAGATTATAATTTCCTGATTCATTCAAAGTGCATCCTTGCCATTCTTTTATTTGTCTCCTCTCATCAGCGTCGTAGGGTTGTATGTAAATGATCTCCCACGACATTTCCTTGGAAACATTAGTCCAGTCAGAAAAACAATTTTCAAGATATTTATTGAATTCAATTACTGCAGTAACTGTAGTTTCATGTCTTTTGGCAGTTGTTGTTT